TCCGGATGTGTGGTGCTGCTTGACCCGGCTGGCCTACGATTCAACATTCCCTGGAAAAAAAACAAAAAAAAACCAAGCAGAATTAATGAAGAGTATAGCCTGATCAAGAGGTAGGCCAGAATAGATGGACCAGCAATTTAATGAAGTCTCTGCGATAAGAAAGATTTGATTTGCATAAGGCAATTGCCAAGAATTAATGGCATTATGTATGGAATACAGGTAGCTTAAAGCCACAGTAAGGAATAATTGGGTTGTTTTGCCTCAGGGCTCCTCTTTTTCTCCCTAAAACTAAAACTGTCATTAAAGTTAAATCTAAGGTTTTTATAAGCCCTGCACGCAATCCTGCATTGTACCATTTGCACTGATGCTAGCGTGCGGGCTAATTCAGCGGTATAGTAGACCACTCGAAGTCAAGGGTTGCAGTGGAAGAGAAAAAAAAATCATCATTATACATTAAGTTCAGCTTTAGTGTACAGTACAGATTGTTAACAGTCTTCTGAAATGCAGTCTTAGGAATCACAAGATTAATATTTTCAGCAAGTCCATACTGGGTAACTAAAATGCCACTAAAAGGAGTGCAAGAATAAAACTGTTTGAAAAAATAATGAAACCTAGTTTTTAATGTCCGTAGGTTGGTTCGTTAAACAAGCTACTTCCTGTTTGCTATTCAATTTTATTTCTCAAAATCCTGCTAACTGAGTCCTATTATGCTGCCGTGAATTATTTCCTCTGTTTAAAGCACAAAGCTAGCTTCAAAACACTCGACATAATTGGTGTTTTCAGGTGGATATTCTGCTAAGTGACCCGATGACATCATCAGTTTTTTTGCTTTTTCCACCACGGCTCTTGTCCTGATAAGTGAGAACACCGAAGCAAACATCGCTGTCAATACAGCATTCACCAGTGCTGTTATTTCCCCCAGGACTTGCTCACACACATTTGATGCTAACCTCCTGGGACAAATTTAGACAACGGCTGCATCCTCATTGCTGCGAGATCAAGCATTACTGAGCAAAGAGTTTTAATTTATGAATCGTATGAACTTTTCTTTTTTTTTTTTGTCAATCAACTTGCAAAGACAGAAATTGACCATGATGGAGTCAATTCTTTTTGGTGCTTGTCATCACACCTGACTTTCCAGTGAAGGTTTGATTTACGTTTTTTAAGTAGAGCCATGAGTCCCCAATAACCACGGCATATAACACTGCTCTTATTTTACAACCTGAAGTACCTTTCTCTTACTCCTCAAGGAGACATTTTCACTCCACTGCTTTGATACGCTTGGCTGCACAGTGACTGTTGAAGTGTATGTGTGTGGAGGGTGGTGCAGGGTGGGTGGGGAGGGGAATAAAAATAAATAAAACCTCCCACCGCAGACAGGTGTCTGATTCTTATTCCCTTGGCAAACCTGTGCCACAGCTAGATGCAGATTGCCCGTGGAGATCACTGTTGGTGCAAAATGATAGTGTGTGTGTGGAGACGCTGGCCCTAGCTGGAACCATTTTTACAGGCCTTCGAATATGATGTGTTCTCGAGAGGAGATGATACAACAGTGAGGGAGAGATTGCCATAATGATAGACTCCTAACCAGACATTTTTCATAAATGGAAACTTTAGAGCTTTGACAAGAATCAAGAATGGGCATGGTGACCTGTCAGGCAATTTGGAGAAAATGTTTTTGGGGGGATTGTAAATTACCATGCTGTGGATGCTTTTGCTGAAATAGAGTTCATCCCGGGTGGAATCAGTGAACGTTGGTAGAGTCCCTTTGACAGGCTTGAAGAAGTTTAGTCTAGTTTTTATTTAACTTTGTTTTGTTTTTTTACGCTGGAAAATGTATTTTTGTAGAACGAATATAGTTCTGTAATACAGCAGTATTGAAGGTCAGTCACAATCTGTTCCATGTCGCTGAATTTGATTTGGTCGACTCTCCGATTATCATGACATTGAAACCCTCCTAATATAGACAAACACAGATTCTTCTTTTTTGAATGTTTTGGCCCCAATTTTCGCCCCTCAGTACAAGTCTAGTGCAAAAAGCAGTTGAACTGTGCGGATGGGTGGAGTTTTCTTTCTTTTCGGGTTTTGGTAGATGGGCAAAGGTAGAGGTTTGCACTGTTGTGGGAGGGAACACAACCGGAGTGTTTACCATCCAGTGGAAGCGGCTCCACTCATTCCCCTTAAATTCAGCGCATGAACAGAATGTTGTCTACGTGGTGGAAGGCTCCATAAAATGAGCATTTGCAAAGTATACTTAAAAGGAACCGTAAGATCTCCACTTATATATGATGTGAAATTGGCTACTGTGGAATGGGAACTCAGAGATGGCCCCTTGCCCCTGACCATGATGTTAGGGTTTTGTTTGATACTATTTGTACACTGACATCATAAACTATCCGTCAAATTGTAGTCAAACTCTAATTCGGTCAAGGTTTGAGGCATTGGATTTCGCATGTTCTGCTGTGTCAAGTCTATCTTTTAAAGCCTTTTTTTCCTCCGGTATGCAAAATGGGATCAGCTACCTCTGGGTATGATTAGCATGGGAAGTCATTCCACCTATCCTCATGGGCACTGTGATAAAAATATAGTAAAGTGATTAGAGGAGGTTGGAGGGGGTTGATTCATCTATATTTTATGATATATGAAAAAGTAATCTGACCTATAGACGCTGTGGCTCACTCGAGATGGGAAAGTAAAGAAGCCTACATCTGTTTAAGACTGCTTAATTTCAATGGCAGTACTGCATTATTTACGTCATTAAAAACCAAGACTGCTGTATAACTCATTCGGGGGACACATTAATCCGAGCTTGGAGATGAAAATAAGGTGACAGCACATGGGCTCTCTCTCTGTCTCTCTCTCTCTCTCTCAATCTAGCATAATGTGATGGTTATTGCATTGAGGTTGCGTCGATGGATATATGTCAGTGAATACGGCGTTCTGTGAGTGCCCAATCACATCACTTCTAATGTAGTCGGCGACTCTCGTGTAACATGAGTGTTGCCCTGCATCATCTGTGTGGTCGTTCAATGAATTGCAATCATGTTAATCAAATAGTTTTAGTTTCTTTTGTCAGGTGCGGTAAATTTTTGCGGTTTCCCTGACCGCATGGAAAATTTACTTGACAATAATCCCACCATTTGGACTTTCTTTTATTCCCAGTTTGAAAATTATCTAAAATGGATCTCGCGCTCGAGCGAGGCAGTGTGACACTTCAGGCTTGTTTTGTTTTTTTCCACAAAAACCAATGCCAACAAAGAAAATGACACAGCCGAGGGTCGTAAATGGAATACCAAAACAGCAATTAAAAAGGCACTTTGATGGTCCACAGCACTAAGGGGAACCACAAAGTCAGGTGAAGGGTGGATGCTGCTTTGTCATGCCGACAGTTTACCCATTATGGGATTTGTAGTCTTATAAAAAAATGTTGTTTAACGTTTGTAATGTTGCTAGTTCCACCTCGACCATTTTAATTTTACATTGAGCTGTTGCATAAAATATTCTCATTCTGAAAAGATCCATGAAGGCTTATCTGTTGTTGTTGTTTATTTAATTTTTTTTTTTAACAGTGATGACTGACTTTCCTTGGTCACACATCTTTACATTTTTTTTTAATTGGAGTGTTCGAGCAGCCTTTGACATAAATGCCAGCAGCATACAAACAATCCGAAATGTTTAATTTTTTTTTTTTTTTTTACACAAAGATTTGGCAAAATTGCCACAGCAGAAAGAAACAGAAGGCTTATTAATCTGCCAGCGCATTTTACTGTTCCAACAACTTTGTGCACTTTCATGCAGCAACCCAGCATCCCACAATCAGATAATCAGACACCTGACAACGTTTGTACCAGAGAACGACAATTCATATAAAATGGCGGCAGAGTTGAGTGTCTAATTTAACAATCTAGTCCCAATGTTGTAGAATTTCCCTGGTGTGTCGTCACACATGCGTTACGGTCGACCAATGTCTCGTCGACTTGGTTCCCTTTTCGCTATTCTCTACGAAAAGGCACCGGCGTGGGTGCGGTGATGTTACTTAGCACAGGTAACCATTCCATGTTAGGCAATCATACCCACATCAAGGTAACGTAGGATACTTGGGTACATCAACTTGTACGAACCCCCCCACCCCCACCCCCCTCAAATTCACATCCAAAAACATGACACGTTTGTGATATGCCTGTCATGTCACAGTGACGGTGCGTCACTGTGACAATACTTGTATTGTGCTGGATGCCTGTGAGCAGTTTTGTGTACACACATCAGACAGGCACATTGGGGAGTATGGGGCGGTTGTAGGGCTGCCTTTTCTGTCTTTTGATGGGTGTGGTTGTATTTAAGCGGCATCATTTTGACAGCGCTCGGCCGGCTACATCTTTTCTGGTCAGCTGGGGTTTAATTGTCTGCCTTAAATATTCATGGGCACGTTGAGTGGATAAATGAAGGTATAAGCACACTGTAAAATTTTCAATAGGGCAAGTGTCACTGACTTCCCAGGATACAATTTACTGTACGTGTCGACATTTGGTGTAATGCCAATTAATATGTTAAGAGCACGGAAAGAAAGCCAAATGGCATTTTCCATTTTCACATCATGGACTAATCTAGAATGAGATGGATACCATTAAGTCGAAAGGTGCACCGCAATAAAAGGAGCACTTTATGAGGATGTTTTATAAAAGTCTGAATCTGTGTAATTCTAACATTCGGTTGTCCCTTTGATGCTTTCACGCATTACTTTTTACCTGAGGAAGTGGTAACATCAGACCAATTTTTTGAACAGCTCCAAAGATAATTCTGCTTGACTTTCAAGCTATTCTCATTTTGATACAAATGTTTGAATATAAATAGTGTGTTTTGGAGATATGTGTATTGATGTTAGCATCTGCTTCGTAAAATTTGTTTTTGTATGTAGGCTATCCCATCTATTTTCGATAGCACTTGGCCGAAGCGTATCCCAGGAAACTTTACCGTGGATTGGTTGCTACCCATTCGCAGGAATGTGTCAGTATGCATGTGTTTTTTCTGCTGTATTGCTCATATCCTCCAAGAAAACCATTGCCTTTGTCAGAGCTGGGGACACGGCAACTCCTGCCAGAAGAACATCCTCTGCAGGCATTCTGATGTCTGCAAGAGACTGGCAGTTGTTGGTGGACCTTGAACATCAGCTGAAGTTCCCCAGCCATATTGCAGTCACCACTCTGCGACCAGACATTGTCCTTGTGTCTGAGTCCACCAAGCAAGCTGTCCTGCTGGAGCTGACAGTCCCGTGGGAAGATCGCTTGGAAGAGGCCTTTGAGAGGAAACTCTCCAAGTACGCAGGACTGGTCAGCAATTGTCAGCAGGCTGGTTGGAGAGCAAGGTGTTTCCCCGTGGAAGTTGGATGCAGAGGTTTCAAACCTTTAAAAAAGGTTGAGAAATACACACAACTATGATAAAACAACCTCACGAGATAGTTCTAGTGCTAGGAGTTCCTAGTCCGGACTGCGCAACACGGAGCAACGGGCCCCTTTTCTTAACCATTATTCATTAAATGGCACTGAAAGCTTTTTTACTCTCTTTATAGCCACGGGCCGGGTCTCATACCCGGTGCACGGCAGTGAATATTTTATAAAATCTTTCTTTTACTATAAACTGTGTTCATTCCACTCGATTGAAATCACCTTTTGATGCCTGAGCAGCATTGCACTCTACGGGAACACCAACAAACTGCAACTGCCCTTCAAGTCCTTGGAGGAGGAATTCAAGGTATCGAGAGCCAGAGAAGTGGTTCAGTACAGGGACTCAAGTGATCCGATGGTGGCTAAAGCAGGGATCCAAGTGAGGACTGGCAGGAATTGGAAGGCAGAGGAAGCAGTTCAAGAGGCAGATGCAAGGCTGCGTCACAGGAGCCTGGTGGGAGTGGTCACACGAGGTCGAGCTGGGCTAGGATCTTTTCCAACCCCCCAAATGAACACCAAGGGGAAGGAAGGGCGACATCTTGTTCAGGAGGAGGTGAGAGCAGCAGTGGAGGAGACGAGAACCTGCAAGGCAGTGGGAATGAAGCAACAGGGAGCTTGGACGAGATGGGAGAATGCGGTTGAGAGGAAAGTGACCTGGGCTGAGCTCTGGAAAGCCGAGCCTCAACGCATAAAATTCCTTATCCGGGCAGTGTATGATGTGCTGCCAAGCCCGTCAAACCTGTACACATGGGGCATAGCAGAGACACCAGCATGCCCATTGTGTTCCAAGCGAGGAACCCTGGAACACATCCTCAGTTGCTGTACAAGGGCACTTGGAGATGGACGGTACAGGTGGAGGCATGACCAAGTCCTTAAGACCATCGCTGAAGCTATCAGCACAGGACTTGAGTGGGCAAAGCAGTTCCGACCCTCCAAGAAAACCATTGCCTTTGTCAGAGCTGGGGACACGGCAACTACTGCCAGAAGAACATCCTCTGCAGGCATTCTGACGTCTGCAAGAGACTGGCAGTTGTTGGTGGACCTTGAACATCAGCTGAAGTTCCCCAGCCATATTGCAGTCACCACTCTGCGACCAGACATTGTCCTTGTGTCTGAGTCCACCAAGCAAGCTGTCCTGCTGGAGCTGACAGTTCCGTGGGAAGATCGCTTGGAAGAGGCCTTTGAGAGGAAACTCTCCAAGTACGCAGGACTGGTCAGCAATTGTCAGCAGGCTGGTTGGAGAGCAAGGTGTTTCCCCGTGGAAGTTGGATGCAGAGGATTTGCAGCCCGTTCTTTGGCCAGAGCCTTCAGCAGTTTCGGCATCGAGGGAGAGAGAAAGAGGAGAGCCATACGCAGTATCACTGATGCGGCTGAGAGAGCCTCAAGATGGCTGTGGCTCAAAAGAGGGGAGCCATGGAGTCATGGTAGCTAGTTAGCCATCTGGACACAAGCTGGGGTCTGATCAGCCCTGGTTGGGTCACCTGGGGGAGGGCGTATGATGTTGAGAGACCCGAAACGCCCTATGATCTCAGGAATACATCACTGATGATGTGTCCAGATAGGCATCAGTAGATGTATGTACACAGCATATTGTACTGAGTAACAAGGTGCTTTCATTTGATGCGGTTTATCGTGAAACTTTCGCTTCATGAAGGTGAAGAAAAAGAAAAACACGCTTGGCAAGATTTGCTGACATCTTGCATGATGACGGTTTGAACTCATAATTTTTTTGAATTTTTGAGTCATATTTTACCATTTTTTGGGACGTTCTACTTGCGTAGATCCACTGTAATGTAACCAAGCAATGGAGTGCTTCATTTTTGTATCACCAAGATGCCATTTTCCCCCACTACAGTGTGTACATAGATTTTTTTCGAGTCACAATGTGTAACTTAGCAACAACCAAAGCCGACCAAACCGCACCCAGCTGTCATCCCCCCTCCATTTACCTCTCTTGCCAAGGTTAGTATCCCCTCATCCTCCATGCTTCCATCCCTCTCCTTAATGGCTTATTTGATGATAATTAACCCTGAATCCAACGGAGACGGGCCAGTGAAAGATTGATGGCCTCGTCGGCCTGGAACACCTGTTCTTCCTGCGAGGGCACCCACTTACCAAACCGTGGCCAAATATGGCTGCCCTTAAGGCCCCCGCATGTTAATGTCAGAGGCAAACACGGGTCCTCCCCAGTGTCCTGGGTGCTCCGTTCAGGGCGACACTGCGACCACAACCCCTGATTACACTCATTACTCCATTCAAGCCCGGCTGTTCTAAGGGGGCATCTTGCAGTCCCTTTTGTCCCAATTATCTACAGTGGCCCATAAAGTGTCTATTCATTTGCTGCCACACACCCTTTGCATACAGATGCTCTGACCCACTGGAGAGCATCTTTCATCAGGCCAGTCCTCATGTCATGGAATCCATTGAGGCAAGGGAGCGAGTGCACATTTAGGAGCTTCGCACATGGGAGTCGTATAATTGTGGAGTCATGTGAAACAACTCGAGTGCAATAATGGTCAAAGTTTGCAATTTTCAGGCTACATGCCGCACACACACACACACACACACACACACACACACACACACACACACACACACACACACACACCC